CACTAATCAGCAGATAAATGGGAAAGAGGGAGCAGAAGGGATCCCTGGCCAATACCAGGGCCTAGATCTCAAGATGACAATCAACCCCCCACCCCAAACCAGATAAGATCAATTTAATCTTTTAAAGACCCTGAACTAACTACATCTAGTAAACAAGAAGCCTATTATGTAAGTCCTTATACTACGTTTCCAAACCACATTAAAACTAAGGCATCTCACACCATATCGAGTTTTTAAATCTGCAACAGTCACACTAAAAATGAATACAAATACAGAATGTATTTCTCCAACGTTTTAGGTAATTTCTCTAAGTTAATCCAGCTCTTATTGTGATGAGTACATGGCCCCCCATGACTTGGAGACAGAAGCCCTGAAGGCTCAATAAATAAGAGGGAGTACAATGTACTTACGTGGAGGGGACTGGCTAAAGAGAGACTCTATCTTCTGTTGGCTCTCAGCAAGGTTTTATTTTATTCACAAATTGAGGGGCCGGAGCAGGAACTCTAGCTTCCAAGGCTAAACAATATTCTACAAAGTACTTTAAAAGTAGTTTTGGAGGGCTGGGGGCCTGGGTGGCTCAGTCGCTTGAGGGTCTGACTCTTGATCAGGCAGTGATCTCAGGGTCATAAATCAGGCTCAGTGAGAATTCCGCTTCTCTCTCTCTCTCCTTTCTTTCTCCCTCTGCCCCTCCCTCTGTCTCTGTCTTTCTCTCAAAATAAATAAGTAAATCTTTAAAAAGAGTACAAATAAAATAAAAGCAGTTTCTAGGGCAACTGGCTGGCTCAGTTGGTAAAACATGTAACTCTAGATCTCGGGGTTGTGAGTTCAAGCCCCACTTTGGGTATAGAGATTCCTTGAAAATTAAAAAAGAATCTTTGAAAATAAGTAAATAAACAAAAGTAGTTTCGGCATCATACCAACCGAGTCATAATGTACCACCATGGGCCTTCTCAAAGCTACTTTCTGCATGTAGCACAAGACCTTATGGAAACCCTTACTCCTTCTTGGAACGTAGTTGCTATGACATTCTCTGCCTCAATAGCCAGCTATGATGAGATATTCCATCCATCCCAGAAGAGTAAGTGTATCCCTAAATTGAGTTTGACCTGATAATGATGGCATCTTAGACTCTTAGACTACCAATGACAACAAACTCATTGCAGTCAAATCAGTTTAAAACTGACTTGTTTTGTTCCCACATAGCAATTCTTCAAAAATCTCAAGTAATCTCATAAGAAGAAGTCCTATCACAGGTTTATTTTCAATTGTGAACATGGTCAAAAGTTTAGTACAATGTTTATAAGGGTGAGTATCCTCTCCTCCAACATGTTGGTGGACTCTTCACCTTTTATTGATGCCGATGATGTCACTAAATGATGCGAGCCTGCACCATGCCCTTCATCACTTCTTATCAGAATTTTATAAATGAACACTGCATTCTCCAGAGCTTTGCAGTTTATTGGATCTGATTGCATTGCTGGCATGACAAAGCAGAAACCAAGTTGTTTGCTCTGTGGTAAAATAAAGTTTTCCTTCTTTTCTTTTTTTCTTCTTTAAATTGTTTTTATAATACTGGATCTGATCTCACATTTTTTTTCACATTTATATTTCATTGATATGAAAAAGACCATGGGAGCTTACCAAGGTCCATTGTGTCATATTAAAATAATAATTTCTAAGTATAAATCATCAAAGTTATAAACAGACTCCATTGATGAGCTTCATTAATTCATGCCACTTGATCTTTGTATTTCTCAAAGATAGATATTCCAATTTCATTTCAAAGAGCATTTCCATGTCTTTATAATTAAATATTGCCAATTTTCATGCATCTGACTTTTTTCCTTTATAGATCATAAGAAGAGGCAAGCTCTGGGAAACACTATTTAAAACCCAAGCAGCAACATAAAAACAAAACTGCTACATTATACTTGCCTTTTTACAGCCAGTCGGATAAGGTTGTAATACTGATAGGCCAGTGCAGGAAAATACTGATTCGATTTCAAGTAGTTGCGTTTAATTTGAATCAGTTGATTCAATTCAGTTCAATCATGTTTATTGAGGGCTATTATATGATAAGCGCCCTGCTAGGCATCGAAGGCATACAGATAGGAGTAAGATGCAGAAGCAGCCTTCAGAAAGAATCCACTCAGGAACACTGAAATGCACATATGAAACCACGCATAGTACAGGGAGACATGGCCTAACTGCCAAAGGGTGCAGATGTGAGAAAGAGAAGCCAAATTTGATTTGGGGAATCAGAGAAGGCTTCGTTCACCAGGAAGGACAATGTTTTCTGGCTCAAACAGGATCTCGTATGATACATAATCACTGTGAAATTGAGTTGCCCAAGCCACCTTCACCTGTAGACCACACTGGGGTCTCAGTCACCTAATCTGTTTCATTTCACTGGTTTGTGCCTCTCAGCCACGCAGTCACTCCACTTCTGTTGCAGAGTTTCACCCTGTCATTTTTTTATTTTATTTTATTCTATTTTATTTTTATTTTTATTTATGTGACAGAGAGAGAGGGAGAGAGCACAAGCAGGCAGAGTGTCAGGCAAAAGGAGAGGGAGAAGCAGACCCTTCTGAGCAGGGAGTCCGATGCGGAGCTCGATCACAAGACCCTGGACCACAAGACCTGAGCCGAAGGCATACGTTTAACCAACTGACCACCCAGATGCCCCTTACCCTGTAATTTCTGAATGCTCTTTGGACAAGTTATGAATTCTCTTTGAGCCTCAATTTACTCATCTGTAAAATAATAATAATGCCTTCATCATTGCATTGTCATAAGGATTAAATGAGACAATATATATAAAGTTCACAGAAAGGCCATTGTTATTTTATACTTGCATTCTACATCCCAACCAAAATAACAGACTAATAACCTCTTTTGTGAGAAGAGTAGGGTGAAAGAGATGGGGCAACCCTGTCCCCACCCCTATTCCCACTCCAGGCAAGCTTCACTTTAGTTCCAAAAGTTGAAGAATAATGGATGGAAGAAAAGAGGCGAAGATGAATTTCTCCTTTGATTGAGTGTACTTCTTGTTATAAAAATACTCTTCTTTTGATTTTCCTAAGACTTTTCTAGTCTATGACATAATGACATATTTATACCTCTCCATCAAATAAAAAACAAGAATCACAGAAATGTGGCCACAGCTGGACACATAGATGGACACATGGGATAAGCTGCCAAAATTTCACCATACCTATTTCCAAATATCTGTCTTCCCAAACCTTCTATCAGTAATTAGAGGTGTAATTCTCAACAAGGTAGACCCAGGTTTCTAAGATAGATAAGAAAGTTATTTTCTACCACTTTTATATCTCTATACCTGTTTGTTTCAGATTGCATAATTTTGATGAGACTGGCTAACAGATGCATGATTTGCTGTTAAGAATAAATTGTATAATAATAAATTGATTTGTTAACTGTTAATCATGCCACAGAAAAGAGTAGTTGTTTAAAAAATCAAATTTTATTTTTTTTAAGATTTTATTTATTTATTTATGAGAGACACAGAGAGAGGCAGAGACACAGGCAGAAGGAGAAGCAGCCTCCCTGCAGGAAGCCCAATGCAGGACTCGATCCCAGGACCCTGGGATCACGACCTGCACCAAAGTTTCAACTGCTGAGTCACCCAGGCGCCCCTAAAACTCAAATTTTAAGAAAGTGTCCTGGTTTTATTCATTGTGAATTTTTGTTGGAAACACATTCCATAAAGCAGTTAAACATTCCTTTGTCATTTTTTTAAGTGCTTTTTTGTTTTTTGTTTTGTTTTGTTTTTTACTTTGAGAGACAGAGAGAGCATGAGCGAGGGTAGAGGAGTGGCAGAGAAAAAAGAAGCAGCAGACTCTCTGCCAGAGCCTGATGCAGGATCCTGGGGGATCATGACCTGAGTGGAAGTCAGACACTTCATGGCTTCACTGTCTGAGCCACTCAGGCACCCCACACATTCCTTTGTCTTTAAATATTTTGTTTTGAGATGTGTAGAACCACATGCATTTGTAAGAAATAATAGAGAGATCCTGTGTGCCCTTCAGTCAGTTACTCCCAATGGTAACATCTTGCAAAACTATAATGCAATATCACAACCAAGACATTGACATTGATGCAATGCACTGATCCTATTCAGATTTCCCCAGTTTTAGGTGTACTCATTTGCATGTATGTATCTGAGACATCTGTATTTGGTCCTGTGCAATTTTATCACATTTATGTTTGGGTCTACCACCACCGCAGCTAGAACTACCAAGTAGTTCTATTATTATGAGGGTCCCTCATACTGCCCCTTATAACATCTTCCATCCCTTTCTATGCCTAATCCCTAGCAACCACTAATCTATTCATTATTTCCATAATTTCATCATTTCCAAGAAAGTTACATAAATGGAATCATGCCATATTTGACCAGTTGGGACCCATCACCCATCATAATTCCCCTGAGATTCCTCTAAGTTGTTTTGTCTATCAGTAATTTTTACTCTATCGTTACTGTGATACATGGTATAGAAGCATTTCGGTATGTTAAACATTCGACTGTCAAGGACATCTGGGTTGTTTCCACTTCTTGCCTACTACTGATAAAAATGTAGTGAAACATTCTCGTACAAGTTTTTGTATGAGCATAAGTTTTCATTTCTCTGAGACAAATGCCCAGTCGTGCAATTGCCGGGTTGTATGGTAATTGCGTGCTCAGATTCATAAGAAACTGCCAAATTCTTTTTCACAGTGACTGTACCATTTTATATTCCCACCAGCAATGTATGAGTGATTCAGTTTTTCCACTGTTTTTTTTTTTTACATTGTATGACATTAGTCTGGATGGATGATAAAATTAGTAAGTAAATACATGGCCCATATAAGAAGCTCGTAAAAAGTCAGTCCAAAAAGTCCAAAGGGTAAAAAGACGGGAGTCATATAAAAAAGCCATCTTAAGCAACGGCCTCTCTGACTTATCTCAGCTCACAGGGCTGCCAGGTATGCAGCAAATGCTTCATAGTCCTGGAAAGTAGCCGGTGTGCCCTGAAGCTTTGCTTGGTCTAAATTAAAATAAATAAATCTTTTCTTTTCAAAACAGGATTATGGCCTATAAAATGCTTCAAGTAGCCCTGTGTTCAACATTGCTTATAGGTAAGAATCCATTTCTTTTTTATTTATCATGTCTTTTACAAAGATTAGGTTGACAGATAACCCCTTTTGATTTTTTCAAAGAAATGAACAGATAGGTTTTATCCACAGATCAATTCTAGAACATTAGGATAACCAAACTATCGTGTCATGCTATGGTTTTGAACATGTTAGTGTTAATTGTGTGTGATCATTTTATTTCTATGTATTAACGTATTAATGTGTCACTGTTGCTAAGAAATCTATTTAAGGGCTGCCTCCAAAGAAGTACTCTTGTGTCCTTGAACAAAGAAAAATTTTAAATGCTTTTTAGAAACTGTAATACTTACATAGTACCATTATGTGGAGACCTCAAGGTACTTTGAGAGTGTGAATTCATTAACCTTTAGAGCAAGCTGTAGCTCAGAGAAGTGGTGTTTTAAAGACAGATCAAGGAAGGCACTGAAGGTCAGATGATTTGCTGCCAAATTGACCCAATAATTCAGTGACTTATATCTGAATGGAACTGAGAGGTCATTTGTTTTTCTTGTAACCAAAACTGAAAATACTTACAAAGGTGTAAATTATTTTCACAGTTAAATCTCTACACTTTATATATACTTCTGATACAATGCTTAAATAAGAATAAATTTCTACCTTTATGATAAACTTGAGGCCCATGCAAAAAAGTTACATATTTTTCTTGAGGTGCACAGACACAGACACACAGAGATGTGTGTGTCCTAAATAAAAGGATATAGGCATATACCTAGAATATAAATCTAGATATGTGGGCATATATGTATGTGTATATAACTAACCTTATATTCTTAAGCATGTAAATAATTTTAATAAATCATTTTAATTACCAATGTGATACTTTGCATTTGGGACATGTTTAAATAAATGATTTAGAAATTTTTAGCCAAGTTATTATTAGGCAATTATCATCAAGATGTGTAATCATACCCGGTTACAGCCCACCTCTCCAGATGAAGAAAGTGAGGCTGGCTCAGTTTGAGTGTATGAGGAGCACACTGTAAATTGAAGTCATGGGCTAGTTATAATCCATCAGTTATTGCTTTGCTTTACCTGCTGATCCATGCAGTTGGCTTTAGAGTGGGTGATGGTGGATTAGCGCAAGGCTAAAAGCACTGCTGCTGGTCTACATTCACCTGTGAACGTGCAGGGTCAAAGATATCTGGCAAAAAAAAAAAAATCTGGCAAAAGGGAATTTGTGCTGCAAAATGACTTTTAGAGACTTAAAAAAAAATATTTTATTTATTTATTTGAGAGAAAGAGAACATAAGCAATGGGGAGGGGTGGAGGGAGAAGTAGACACTCTGCTGAGGAGCCCAACTCTAGACTCAATCCCAGGATGCTGAGATCATGACCTGAGCTGAAGGCAGATGCTCAATCTACTAAGCCACCCAGGAGCCCTTTTAGGGACAGTTTTTCTTTCTTTCTTTCTTTCTTTCTTTCTTTCTTTCTTTCTTTCTTTAAGATTTTATTTATTTATTTATTTATGAGAGACACAGAGAGAAAGGCAGAGGTAGAGGGAAAAGCAGGCTCCCTTTTGGGAACCTGATGCAGGACTTGATCCCAGGATCCTGGGATCACAACCTAAGCCAAAGGCAGATGCTCAACCACTGAGCCACCCAGGCCGTTTTAGGGACTTTCCTAAGAAACAAGTCGGAATTAAGTTTAGCTCCAGCTGAGATACAAATATGTCTATCTAGAAAGATAACTGGTTTGGCTGATTTCACTTAAAATACAAATAAATAAAATTATGTGGTGAGAGTTCGTGAAATAAGTTGAGAATTAGAACCTAAGGACAGAGGTACATTGACAAAGCGGGGTTAGTTCTTCAGATCTCAGGAAAGAAGCCTCTCCTGCATGTAGGCTGAGTACATGGAAGTCGTTAGAACCAGATTCATTCGCTACACGAATAATTTGTTTAACTGACACTTTCTAAATCATACAGCTCTCAAGTAGGAAATCCTAACTTGGGTCAACTTTCTTCCCTTTTTCTCTCCCTCCCATTTTTCATTTAAGAATGCCACCTATTGATCTACACTTCCCTGGAAACTTCTACTTATCATAAGAAAATAACCATCTTTAAAAGTTTGTTTTTATATTTTAAAAAAAGTTTTCTCCATTACAGATTAGTTGTCTAACAAATTACTTTTGTCTAGAACTTAATTTGAAGCAAATAGGGAAAAGATCTCATTATCCATTTTCCTAATGGGAATGCTGAAGCCAAAAATGATGAAGAACCTTCCCCAAGTAATTACATTTATAAGCACAGTCCTCAAATCATTTTATTGATTTTCTTAAAATAGTAATTTATACACATTGGAACTGGTTCCTCGGTCAGAGAATTAGAAATCCGAGTGTCATGATTTGATTAAAAAACAAAAACAAAGACCCTCTCTTCAGCATTTAGGTCAAGAATTGCCTTCTATAATAAACCGAGCAAGCATTAATAAGTCTTTGCTTATTTAAGTGTTTATTCTGTGAGCAGGGGTTTTCCATATGTTACTTTAAGTCAACTCTCATAATCACTCTGCAAATAAGTATAATGATTTTCATTGTATAAGGGAATTTTGGCTTAGAGAAGTTAGGTGAGCTACACAGCTAATCCATGGTGAATGCTGGACTCATGTGCAAATTCTACAGCTAGCTCTTCCAATAACAAAACCCTTCTTTCATCTAAACAAACTGTCGCCCCCCAAAAATAAATAAATAAATAAATAAATAAATAAATAAATAAATAAATAAACTGTCCCCTTGGTGCTGCCATGCTAGATATGGGATATGTAGCTATGGGATAGGCAAAGGAGCACACAACAAGACCTCCTCATGAAAAAGGAATAAAGCCAGTGTCACAGCCATTGGTTCTACAAGAACAAGCCAGGAGTTAGGGAGCTGGGTGACCTTAGGTGAGTAAACAGAGCCACGCTGAGATATAACCAGACGCCTTCTATGGCAGTTTCTTGTTGTGGTGAGGGTAAAGAGAAGTCCTAAACTCATATGTTCCACCTCCATAGGACACTCATCAAAATCAAACAGCCCCATTTCACACAAAGAAGACATATGGAAAATACACGTATTTGGAAAGTATTTCACAGAGTAAATAAACCAGCGAAGTTGACCCATATGTGAGACAATTTGGAGGTTCGTGCCCATATTGTTGACCTGTGATCAGATCACATGAAGTGCAAGCATGTCTTCTGGTTTCAGACAGGGGAAGTGAACTGCCTTTTGCCTGTTTCTCTAGCATTACTCTAGCTCTTACTTTTCACCCCACACCTCGTAACCAAGAGCAATTTGTCCTGAAGGTTTTTGTTTGTCTGAGTCGTTGGGTTGGTTTCGGTGTTTTGTTTTTAAAGATTTTATTTATTTATAAATAAATACCTATGTCCAGAGACATAGGTAGAGGGAGAAGCAGGTTCCCTGCATGGAGCTTGATGCAGGACTCGATCCTAGGACCCTAGGATCACACCCTGACCCAAAGGCAGATGCTCAACCACTGAGCCACCCAGGCATCCCAGCTTGGGTTTTTGAGATAAGAGCTTTTAAGCTCACATTTTCTTTCCCTTGACCCACTCAGCCCTGCCAGTGATTGCAAGTTTGCCTTTAGCACCATCCATGGAAAGAAGGGCCCTTCCCAGTTACCCAGCCACCCCTCCCCACTTCACTGCCCCATTCCTTGGAGAGTCTATATTTCTGGATATAGTTTTGCTTTATTTTATAATAACTCATTCTTAATTTTATCTACTCACTTTGGCTTCAGATTGATTGATGTTCTCAAGAAAGCAAGTAGTGAGAATAACCTGGGAAATATCTCAGTTAGAGAAAAATATCATTGCCTATGACTAGATCCGTTGAGCTCTCTGGGTGTTGCTGAAAAACCATCTATTTTCCTGCCCACAATGCATCATTTGTCATGGCACTGGAGTTGGAAATTCCATCAACACACACAGGCAATGACCCAGAAGGGGTTACTATTGACTCATATAAAACACTCTTTCGTGAGTTACACATTTCGCTGCCCACAAAATCAAAAGTTAATAAAAGATCTACCAGGTCCAAAACATGCCTCAGGGAATGACATGGTGGTGCATGTGAGCACGTGTGTGGGTGTATGTTAGCACGTTGAGAGCAGGTCAAGACAGACTGAACTCCAACTCAAGCAACACTAGCTCCTGTTTACTTTGCAAAGTAGTCAACACACCAGCAATTGTAACGTCACTAAAACCAAAGTTCCCTGAGTTAAAAGTTCATTTACAAAAGCATTTCATTAACAGTTTAGTAAGACCATGGGATTTGAGAGCTGGTCCCGAAGTTCAGTGTCTCTTTCTTCCTTTCCAGCTGACTTTCATTCCATCCTGCCCTCTGTCTTTTTACTTCTCTGTTCCCTTTCCCCATGGCTTTTCACCTTTCGTAACCTTTCATTTTTGTAACTTCCCTTCTTTTGTCTCTCCTTTCTTTGATTTCTTTTCTTGATTTCTCCTGTTTCGTTCTTTCTGTCTCAAACCCCAAATTTCTTCTCTCTCATTCTCTCTCATTAATTTTAATCTCAATTGCAGCAAAGTGAGAGAGCCTATTACACTAAATATAGCTCTTCTGTCTTCTGCCATAAATTTTTGGGTCAGTGATGAAGATTTAGAGTGGGAAGAAAAAGATAACTATTCTATAACAAAAATTATTTACTTAGCCCAGAGAATAAAAGATTCGACTTTAAACATATGAACCTAAACATGACATGTACTTGAATCACTCACAAAATTATACAATTTCTCCTACACTTAGAGCGATCTTTGAAAATTTTGCCATATTGCCAAGATGCCTGTATATACTTTTTCCTGATCCTCTTTTGTATTAATTAATGGATTAATCCCTAGTGACCATTTATACTTTGTTTTAATACTTAATTTATGTGCTTGAGCATTTATTTCGTCTTTTTTTTCTAAAGACCTAGACATGTTACAGGAAGTGACTAAAACTCAGTGCAATAAAAA